CATCAGCACCACCACCACCACCATAACCACCATCACCACCACCATAACCACCATCACCACCACCACCATCACCACCACCACCACCACCACCACCACCTCTACCAACAAGAACATCAAGAACATCATCACCACCACCATTATGCCATAATCTCCTTTAGGCAAATTTGCTATACTTCCAGAGTATTCCTGGATTCAAATTGCATACTTACTTTTCATAGCTAACTGTCCCTAATAGTCTCAATGGTCTACTTGTACAGGGCCTGCGTTCAAACTGGCCTTCAGTCACGGCCCAGCGCTGGTTAGGTCTCTTCTTCTCTGGGAAGCTGGGGTGGGTATGGCATGGGGGTTGGTGCTGACCTGCTCCTTTTGGCTTCACTGGCACTCAGCCTCAGGTTCAGAGGCCTGGAGTATGGGCCCGGTTTAGTGCTGCTGTGTTAGAAATGCTACAGGTGTGTGGCTTTAGAAGAGTGAAGTTTGTTTTCTCGCAATTCAAGAAGTGAGAAGTCTGAATTTTGGACAGGAGCTGTAGAGGATAACATTCTCTCTATAGGATCCAGGAGAATGTTATCTTTCCCAGCATTACTCAGCCCCATGCAGTCTGCACATGGCACCCGTTTGTCCCCATTTGGGCTTCTGTGTCGAATCTGCTGTTTCTGTCTCTGAAGTGATAAGGCATAAAGCACACCTTATACTGAGACGACCTCATTGACATAACAGAAAAATTTTTTTTGCCAAGCCAGATTGCATCATCAGGTATGGAGGTGAGGGGGACACAATTCATAATCATATCTAGGTCCCTTGCTGCATAGTCTGTGGTATAATACCCTTACGGCTTGGGCATGGGGCCAGGGGGAGGAAGGCCATCCCCAGGTTCAGAAAACCAGCCAGTTTCCATCTCAGAAGTAAGGCTGAAATCCTGGGAGTGGGGTGAGGAGTGGATGGAGACATTCCTACCAGAGGAAGGTGGAAGGACTTACGGTCCTGTGAACAGGTGCTGATGATCCGCTCCACACTCATGGCACACCTGTCCACATAGTCATCGTAGCTCTCCGCTGGGATCAGGGAGGAGACCGGGCATGCTGGCCTGAAAATGAGGGGGAGAAACTCATGCCACATGGGGGCCACACTGGCACAGTGGTCATGGGTTACAGCTGTGGGGCTCGGAGGCACGCCCTCTTCCAATATGCAGCCTTAAAGAGGCTGTGAAGTCTACAGATTGGTTCTGTGATGTGCTCAGATGCTGGCAAAAGACTCAAACATATGGGGGGGGGGGTGTTGGTTTGTTTTTGTTTTTTAATTGACGATTAGAAGGGTTTGTGATGCTAAAGAGCTAGGCATAGCAAGAGAACTCGAGAAATCTTGGCGGCAGAGAACTTGCAAAGAGCTTACCTGTAATTAGTATCCACATTGAAATTTGCCTCTTTCAGCTCTTCCAGGGTCATGAGGGTGGGGATGGTTTTGCCGACCTCCCACTTTGTCCACTCAAAGATCCCAGGTTCCACTCTGAGCTTAATTTTTCTCTCCAATTTGAGTTCTGAATTCAATGGGATACAAGAGTTTAAAATCAACCAACCCACCTTGACTCTGGGTCAATGAAGCACCTGCTCAGTTTCAACATCTTAACCAGGTATCTAAATAGCACCTTTCCAAAAATGTGATTTGTTTTCCAATGATCATTAAGTATAATTTTGCTATTTCTGAGACAAAAACTGCAGAGCAGTTGGGACGCATCAGAGGCACGATGACCCTCTCTGTGTCAAGAAGGGACAGACAGAAGGAGTCCTCAAGAAAATCAATGGGAGAGCTTGGTGGACCTTGATGTGTTAACATCTCCCAGGAGCTGGGAGGGAGTCGCCACCAGTACGTCCCCCATGGGTGCTCATGCTGACCACCCAGTACAACTCCTCAGCTACAGTCCGGACCTGGTACCTTGGGACGAAACCTCTGGTGATGGGTAAGAGGGACCACAAGGATTTGGCGGATCCCATGGTCACGGCAAGGTTTTGGGAACAGCACTCATGAGCATCAGTCTGATACAGACGCATGCTGGGAAAGGCAAAGGCAGACGGGTGAAAGGAAATCTTCCTGGGGACCTGTCCAGTGCCTTGCAGCTCACTCTCCCAAGCAATTTATACCAGTCCCCTTGTGCCGGCCCCAACAGTGACCGCAGAGCTGTGCTCCGTAGAATTTTAAAGACTCTTTTTTTTTTTTTAAGTACATCGCCATTCTTGGTTCCCAGACATCTGCGTGGAACTGGACTTACAGGCTTTGGGTTGGCAGCTGAGCATCCCTGCCATTTTCACCACCAGCGAGGCCAAGCATTCTCAACCTTGACTCACAGGAAGCCTATAATGTAGGGCTATCATTTTTGAGGCAGAGCTGAAACGAGCACCTTAATGTCTTTACTTGAAATGGAGAAAGTCGCCTTAAACTCAAATGCTGGAAATGGAGGCGGTTCCCCAAGTGGGTTCCACGTCCTTGGGAGGGTTATTGTGTTAGCCATACTTAGACAAGGAGAGCAGGGGCATTAACCAGGTTCCCGAGTTCTCCTTGGAGCCTGGAAGGACTTGTGTCCATTGTGAATGAACTAGAGGCAGAGATGGTTTGGAAGATTTCCAACTCTTTGGCTGTAGGTTTTCCTTTCGAAGACATCTTGTTGGCCACTCTTCTGTGGGCCAGACCTCAGCCATTGACCTTAGTCTGACTCTGTTTTCCAACCCATGCCCTGGCTCTCCTAGACAACTGACCACGCTTAAATACTTCTCAAACTTACAGAATTCCCTCCCCTTTCTGAGTTTTACCAGGCGATACCTTCCTAAGCCTTGGAGGAAATGGAGGTCAACATTCATGCCGGCTGCCTTCTCTCCCGTCACTGCGGAAGCCCATTCATGCCTCTGGCCTCCACCATGAACTAGGTCACACCCCTCTCTCCTATAAATGCTGGCTGCTCCTGGGCCGGGACTTTCTTCTTCCACTGGGCTGAAAGCTGCAGAAGAGTCTCCCAAGGGTTTCCCAGGATACGTCAGTTGTGAGGATGCTGGGCAGCTCCTATGAACATTTTCTTGCCCTGGGAAAGTCATGCCTTTTGTACTCAGAAGGGCCCACCAAACCAGACCACACATCCACCCAGTCCACTCTGACTCACAGTGACCCTGTAGGACTGGGTACAACTGCCTCTGTGGGGCTCCGAGACTGTAACCCATCACAGGAGTAGAAAACCTCGTCTTTCTCCCAAGGAGCCCCCGGTGGTGTTAGAACGCCTGACCAGGTGGTTAACAATCCAGTGCATAACCACTACTCCAGCAGGGCTCCTGCCACGGCAGTTCTTAAGATGACAGCCTTATGCTGTCATCTTAGTCATGTGAATACCAATGCTTTCACAATCCTGGCATTCAAGAAATACGAGTGGGGTCAGTGCCTGTGAGCCGTTTCTAAAGGGTTGGTGCATCACTGCCTTCTGGCTTCGGCATGACCATTCACTGTCTTTAAGGGGAGAGGGGGGAGCGGGGATGAGAAATTGGTGGCTGACAAATTGGGAAGTAGGCTGGCGTTCTCACCGACCTTCCAGGATGTGCTTGGCCGTCTGCACACAGCGGAGGGCTGGGGAGACGAAGACGGAGGTGATGCTGATGCCGCTGTCCAGCAGCGCTTCTCCTGAAAAACAGCAGGCGGAGTTCCCCCTTCACAACTCTAGCCTCAAGGCTCCTTCCTGGCTGGCCACCTGTGGTAGGCGACCTCTGAGATGGCCCCAAGATATCCACTGCTGGTGTATACAGCCTGCATAATCTCTTCAAGTGTGGGCAGACTTCTGACCGGGATGAGATCATCCCTCAGGTCAAAAACAAAGCAAAACTCACCGCCGTCAAGTCGATACTGACTCACAGTGGTGACCTTGTAAGATGGACTAGAACTGCCTCTGTGAGTTTCCTTAAATGTAACTGCCTACCAGAGTAGAAAAACCCCCTTTCCTCCAATGGAGTGGTTGGTGGTTTTGAACTGCAGACCTCGTGGATTGCTGCCCAACTCATAACCACTACACCACCATGGCTCCTTCCATGATTCTACTAGAGGATATGACAAAAGTAACATGTTCCTGGGTGGGCCTAACCTACTCTGGAGAGCCCACCAAAAATAAAGATGCTGTCTGTCTGATCACAGAAAAGAATGCGGGGATATTAGACGTGAGAGGAATTTGATGTGTAAGAGAGTGTCCACTACTGGCTTTGATCATGGAGGGGTCACATGGGATGCAGGAGGACAGTGCCCTCTAGGTGACAGCCGGCAGGGATGGAATTTGGCCAACGACATTGGGAACTGATTCCAAGAGCCTCTGCGTGAGCTCAGCCTGGCTGACCCATGATTCCGTGTGAGCCCGAGCAGAGACCCCGCCACCCCTACAGGACTGTGTGTTACTGGGTGGGTGTTGTCTTCAGTCTGTGGAGCTGGCTCACACCAACCTGTGAGAAAGCCAGCTCTCTCTTCCCAGAGACTCTGACTGAGCACATCACTATCCCGCGGAAACCAAGCCGTGCTCCAGGTCTGACGCTCCCGCTCTGCCCACAGATCTGCTGGTCGGCACGACCAGAGCCCCGCTGGGCATGGGACCAACAGAGCAGGTTCCAGTGGGTTCCTGTGAGACCTGGAAAGCCCATGACCTCTCTAGATTCCAGTTCCTAATTAACGAAACGAAGACCACATGAACTCTGTTCCCAGCATTGAATCCTGTGGAACCAAAGAGCCAGCCATAAAAAAACAAAACAACAACCAATCCCCAAAGTGGTAGATTCGGAAGCAAAATCAATGAAAGAACTTGAATGACATCATTTAGTTCTCCCCCGCCCCCCACCTCCCATTCTTCTAAGGGCCATCTCTCACACACAGACTAGTGCCTTCTGACTTCCTCAACCATCCATTCCTTGGTCAAAGGTCTGCCTTTTCATGCATTAGCTGTGTGATCTTGCATGAGTTGGTGTACCTCCCTGTGCCTCAGCAGAACAGAGATCATGCCAGAACGGATGCATCTACTATCTAGCACTGCTGCACCAGGGCTATCACCAGGGGGTGGATGTAGCAGACAGAAAATGATTGTTCTCGTAGTGCAGGAGGTTAGAAGGCCAGATTTAGGACCCCGTTCTCCTGGAAGGCTTTCTCGCTGCGGCACTTCTGAAAGAAGGGCTTGGTCTCTTCAGCTTGTGTCCTGGTCCTGGGAGAGCCCCACGTGTCTCAGCGCTTATCTCACCCCATCTCTGCTTCCTAGGCTTGCTTGTTTAATCTCTTTTATGTCTCAAAAGAGATCGGCTCAAAAAACCCACAAATGCTGGAGAGGGTATGAAGGGGAACCCTTGTACATGGCTGGTGGGACTCTCAGTGTGTACCACCAGAGTGGAAAGCCTCTGGCATCACTCCAATAACTGGGAATAGACATTCCATAGGGTCTCTGTCCTAAAGAAGTAAGAGACATGGCGCGAACTGACCAACGCACTCCCACGTTCGCTGCAGCACTGGCGAAGCTGGAAGCCACCCACAGCCCGTCAGCAGAAGACTGGACGGAGAAACGTTGGTACACGCACACAATGGAACACTGTGCGTTGCTGAAAAAATGAGGATGAAACCACGAAGCCCCTCACGACCCGGGAGGCCCTAGAGAACCTGATGCTGAGTGAAGTCAGTCAATTACAAATACTGTTTCCGTCCACTACTACGAAGACAAAAATCACGACAAAGGACGAATGTGCCAAAGGGAATAGACTTTGGAGGGTACCAAGGCAGGGAGGGCAAAGGAGGGCAGATGAAGCTGTTGACTGGAGGGCTGACAGGCATTGCCTTGGGTGAAGGGGAGGATGGAGGACCATAAGAGGGAGAAGAGAAATGAGAAGTGGGGATGAGGCCGAGGCACAATACATGTGTGCGCGTGCGTGTGTGTGTGTGTGTGTGTGTGTGTGTGTGTGTGCTGGCTTGAACTTTTGGGTGCATAGTAGATGGTCCAAAATGCAAGCCCCCAACTTAATTCATAATTTCAAAAAGAAAGAGAGATTGATTCAAGATGCCCAGCACCCCATCCTGTCTCATGAACACAACGAAGACAACCCAGCCACAGCTGGATGACAACCACAGGCACAGGGGTTAGAATGGACCACACATGTTCTTTGGGGACCCAAAAGATAGTCAGTGTACACATTAGCTACAATGGTTCGTATTGCCACGATGGTTCCCGTGAGAGGGATCCTCGGACATACCTGCAAGTCTGGACTGGAATATTCCACAGGATGATAGTGGTGGGTCATTTTCAAAGTCTTTGATGCCATTCCTCCGTTTGGGCACACTGCGGGGGAAATTCAGGTCTGGTCTGTAGTATTTCCCTAAAGCATAAAGAAGCATTGGAGGCTCACTCTTATTATGTGGGTCTATATTTGTCCCCAGACTCCCAAGCTCCAGACTCACGTGGTACAAACACGGTTCCGAGTTACGCAATTGTTACTTGCCTTTTTCTAGCTCTCGTGCTTGGGATGCTTTCCGGTGTGGATTCAACTGAAGGGAAAAAGCCAGTCTGCTTTGTACCCAATCCAACCCCAACCAAACTCGCTGTAACGGAGTCAGCTCTGACTCACCATGACCCCACTGGACAGGGTAGAACTGCGCCTGTGAGTTTCCAAGACTGTGATGCCTCCCTGGGGTAGGGAGCCAGAAAGCTTAGGCTGAAGTCCCAGAAACACCGCTTCTCTCCTTTGTCTTCCCATAAACTGTCACGAAAATGACTCATTTCCCTAATAGAAATGGAGCTTCCATCAGAGACCAAGTATCTTCTGTTAACCGATTTAACTTAGCTTGATAAGCATCTTAAGTTGGCATCAATTAATTAGCTGAAATCTGACTCCTTCCCATAGCTTGAAATATATCATATTGCTTCAGGGGATGGACACGTATGGCCATTTTCTCTTGCTTAATGCACTATTCAGTCAATTGCTAGAAGAATGGACTGGAAATCAGGTGGATTCAGCAACAGGGCTCACTTTGGCTTTGATCTTGACTCTAAGATCTGATAGGTGGCGCACAAATCCCAGCACCACCAGTTACTACTGACGGTGTGACTGGAAGTCAATGACTGCCTCTTTCCACAAAGGGACATCGTTGGGATGAGTCAGTGAGATAATACTAAGTCCCAGCTGGACTAGAGGGTCGTTTTTCGTTGTCAACGAAGCGGTGAGTGGTTCTGTGCCATCCTCATGCTTGTTGGCGTGTGCGAGCCCATTGTTGTGGCTATTACGGTAATCCATCTTATTGGGGGGTTCCTCTCTTTTCACGGGGGTCTTTCCCGACGACATGTGAAAAGTAAGCATGCTGAGGTCCATCACCACGAAGCGTTCTGGTAGAGCATGGCCCCAGAGTCCGTGGTCAATACGTGGTGGGTAGGTGCTTGTCCTCACAATTGTCATTACAGAGGGCACGGTGTCCCATCAAGCCCTCATCCAGCACACACTGTATTCTTCCAACGGATCCCCAGCAAGTTCTGGAAACAGTTGGACTTCTCTGAGGCCCTTTAGGTCCTACAAGACAGCCCTCTCTGATTTGAGAGACAGGCAGCGGTGGATTTGCGTGCCTTTTAAAATTCAGGTCTCCTGCAAAATCTTCCTAAAAGCCACTGCCCTCGAATGTCCACTGGCAGAGACTTGGATTGCATGGTAGGCTTGATGGGAATTTACAAAGAGCGAAAGTACGAGTCAGGAAAGGAGGCCTCTCCCATTTTTAGTCTTAGAGAGAGCCCGTCAATTGCATCATGTTCTTAAATGTGTCTGGAATCCCACAGATGTCGGTCCACGCCATGCAGTCCCGTGGCTCTGCCTGACACTTGATCTGTGTCAGAGGCGATGAGGATGTGAAGCCAAGGTCAGGCTGTGATGGGAGCAGAGTCGGTACAGAATCTGGAGTAACCTTGTTACCGTCTGTGGGAAGGGCCCGAGGAGGGTTCTTGTGCTTCTTCCTCTGGGTGTGTGCTACCTGCTTGGAAGTATTCTGTCAAGATCTGCCCCTGAAGACGCCATCTCTAGGTGTCCCCAGTCACAGGGAGGCAGGGTTTCTCTGTCCACGGCTGTCTTTGGTTGTTGTTGGTAAGTACCTCCATTTGGGCCTGACTCAAGTGACCCTACGTACAACACAACACAGCACAACACAACACTGTCCATTGCTGCACCATCCTCATGTTCCAGTGGTTGAGCCCATTGTTACAGTCACTGTGTCAATCCATCTCCTTGACACCTTTCTTTTCTGCGGGTGGCCCTCTACCAAGCTTAGTGTCCTTCTTCAGGGACTGGTCTCTCCTGACAGCGTGCTCAAATTATGTGGGATGCAGTCTCATCATCCTTGCTTTTTCAGGAGTGCTATGGCCATATTGCTTCCGAGACAGATCGGTTTGCCCTTTCAGCAATCCATGTCGGTTCAATATTCTTCTCCATGAGCACAAGTCAAGTACATTGCTGTTTCTGTCTTCCTTATTCAACGTCCAACTTTCACATGCATATGAGCCAATTGAAAATACCATGGTTTGTGACAGGCACACTGTAGTCCTCAAAGCGATGCCCTTGTTTTACAATTCTTTAAAGGGGTCTCATGCAGCAGATCTACCCAAGGCAATGCATCTATTGATCTCTTGACTGCTGTTTCCATACGTGTGCTGATGGATCCTTGGAGGTGTGGTCTTTTGAGAAGAGAGACACTGGGGGCCTCTTTCTCTCTCTTCCTGCTTACTCAGATTCTGTGTCTGCATCTAGGGGTGGCCCTGCGTGGGCTGCTGACCCTGGGGGCTGTTGGCTTCTTCCTATGTTCCCTCTGAACTGGATCCACGCACCTCTGCCCCCATTGGCCTGCGATCTCCCTGCTTCCTGCTTCATGAAGCTACAGCTAGGTGCGTCTGAAGGGGGCTCTTCTAGCATCGGGCCCATGGACCTGAGTTGGTTGGGCTTGAACCCCTTCTTGATAGAAAGCTCTTCCTGACGCAGATGTGAGCATCCTTGGTTTTGCTTCTCTAGACAACCCTGCCAAGCACGAGCACCATCTGCTTTCTTAGGTGAGGCCCTAGGCTATTTCTTTCTTTTTTTTAAACATTTTATTAGGGGCTCATACAACTGTTATCCCAATCCATACACACATCAATTGTGTAAAGCGCATTTGTACATCGTTTCTCAAAACATTTTCTCTCCATTTAAACCCCCGACATTAGGTCCTCATTTTTCCCCTCCCTCCCCGCTCCCCCCTCCCTCATCAGCCCTTGATAGTTTATAAATGGGTATTTTGTCATATCTTGCCCTGTCCGACGTCTCCCTTCATCCACTTTTCGGTTGTCTGTCCCCCAGGGAGGAGGTCACACGCAGTTCCATGTAATCGGTTCCCTCTTTCCTACCCATTCTCCCTTTACCCTCCCTGTTTTGCCACTCACACCACTGGTCCTGTAGGGCTCATCCATCCTGGATTCCCTGTATTTTCAGTTCCTAGGCTATTTCTTGATGTGGTCTTGGAACATGCAGAGGCTAGACTCAGCTCCTAGCTACGGAGACTGGCTGGGGTCAGCTGGGCTCCCAGAGGGATCACAGAAGGGCTTTTAGTCCAGCAACAGTGACTAAACTTTATCACGAGGTTTAATACCCTGATCTAGGTCATCTACATGCCTCCTATCTTTGTTTGTCAACTGCTCCCTCCTCCTGGAGGTATTTTGTAAGCTCTATTGTGCCAATTAAAAAGAAAAACAAACTTAAAAAACAATAACAAAGTGCTTTTATAAATACACCTCTGGAGTAGGTGACAGACATTATGTTTATATATAAATGTATATGGTGTAAAATACAGAAATCAGAGAAGACTTAGAAATCATGGCACTATAGCTTATTCATTTGGGGGGGTGCTCTGGTATAGGCCTTGGGCATTAGTAGAGAGAGTCTCCTTGTTATTGTCGTTGTTAGGTGGTTGGGAGTCAGTTCCGACTCACAGTGGCCTTCTGTGTAACACTGCCCAGTCCTGCGCCATCCCCACGATCCTTGTTTTGTTTAAGTCCACTCTGGCAGGCACCTCGCCAAACTATGTCATCAAGGGTCTTCCATTTTTCACTGCCCCTCTACTTTACTAAGAATGATGTCCTTCTCCAGAGACTGGCCCAACACATGAGAAAGTTTTATATCCTTGCCTCTAAGGAGCATTCTGGCTGTAGTTTTCCCCCAAGACAGACCAGTTTTTTCTCATGACAGTCCAACAGCAGCCCTGTCACTCAAATACATCAGTTCTTCGCTCTTCTGTATTCAATGTCCAACTTTCACTTTCAAGAGAGTCAACTGGAAAGCCGCGGTGTGGGTCAGGCGCACCTGTGTCCTCAAAGTATCACCCTTGCTCTCAACATTTGTGCAGCGGGCTTACCCAACGCAATGCGTTGTTTGATCCCTCGACTGATCTTCCCTGAGTATGGAAGGTGGATTGCAGCAAAATGAAATCCTTTAACGACTTCAGTCTTTTCTCTGCTGATCATGAGATGGGTTTGTAGAGTGGTACTGACAACAAGCAAAGCCCCTAGTCCTTGGCATTCAGGGCGACAAAGTTGGCGAGATCCAGAGACACGTGCAAGAGTATGCTCATCTCTGAAGCAGCTTAGCCCAAATTGTCGGGGGATGACCAAGGCCACCAGGTGACCTCGGAGAGGTGCGAGATGGTATTGACAGGGAGGGCAGGGGCCTTCAGCTCTAGGTCTCAGTGCTGATACGCTAACCAAATACTCTTGTGTATTCTGCGAGGGCAAACAGGCCCATCTGTACATCATACGAACAGACTTATTTATTCTTTATAACCATCCCCCCGTCTTCCAAAAAGTGTTTGAGGTAAACTGCTCACATCCAACATACACTCACACGCACATGTATAAGCCCGTGGAGGAAGATGGAGCATGTGCTCACATTGCCAGTTGCCGCCAAGTTGTCTCTGACTCATGGTGACTCCTTATGGATCAGGGTTGAACATAGGATTTTTCATGGCAGATTTTTTTGTGTGGCCAGGGGTGGTGGGGGGACAAGTAGGAGATCTCCAGGTCTTTATTCCAAGGCTCTTTTGGTTGGACTTGAACCTCCAACCTCCAAAGTGCTTGGCTGCTAACCATCTGTATCAGCCTGGGACTCCAGAGCACATGGGCCTTCCACATAGATGGTCTATACAGAATCCTTTGAAAGGAGGAGGAGGGTTGATGTCGGAGCTATTTGGACCTTGCCCTGTGCTCAGAGCCTGCCTGGACGGTACCCACCATCCGGAGTGGAACACTGTTGCAGCCACAACTTCCCAAAGATCTGATCCACTCGCTCCCCGTGGCGCACCACCAAAACACTTCTTCTCAGGATCGTGGCCTGGGAGAGGGGAAAGAGAGGCATGTGCAATTTAATCTCGCGGGATATTAATGAGGCTGGAACACCCTCTAGCAGTGCCCTCCTAAGCCTCCCTAGAACCACACTCCCCACTCAGCAGTTTAGGCTTTCTCAGGCTTGCTCCTCCACTCTCTCCACTCTGGAATGTATGTCCTGTGAGTGTGAGACCCCTCACAGTCCTGACCTGGGGCAGCTACCCAATGAGAGTGCAAAAAAATATTGCAGAGCTCCGAAGAGTCACGCTGTTTGTCACGGAATGCCTTAGGACATGCCCATGTTCATGGCAACCATGCTCCTAGCAGCCGAAGGTGGCAACAACTTCAGTGCCCGTCCAAAGATGAATGAGTTAGGAGAATGGGCTCTAACCATAGACTCAAACCTTACTAAGCGATCAAGAGAAATGAAATCCCAATATATGTTATGTGGCTGAGCCTTGAGAAGGTATGATGAGGGAAGTAAGTCAGCCACAAAAAGGACACACAGTGTCTGACCCCTCTTATATGAGATGGCCAATAGATTGAGATCCAGGTCTAATGATTAGCTGGGGTGAGAGGGAAGAGGCAAGGGGGAGGCTCAGTTTAGAGGACACAGGGCTTTGCTCGTGGTGGGGAATAGAGTGGCAAGCATAAGTGGTGATGGTTGCACAGTAGGATTCCTGTCAGCAGTGGTGCTGAACTGTCCGGGAGAGACAAGTTGAACTGGCGAATGTGTTATTAGGGATGCATGCTTTCACTATAAGAAAACAGAGAACAAGCTCCTTCCACACCTCCTTCTGTTTCCGCAGATCACCTCTATTGTTGGCCACGGAAAGGTAAGCCAGCATGGTTTGGGGAATCGAACTACAGTCTGGTGGGTTCATAAAATGGGATGTGTGTGAGCCTGTTAGAACATTTGATGCCACCCGTGTGTAGTTCCGGGGTTTGGTAGTTATATAATCTGGTGTCAATTTGAGGATTAAGAGTGTAGGAGTGGAGTCTAGCCTGTCAATCAGGATGTAGCCAATGAGACCTCTGTAGGGGCATGGCCTTTGCCTGAGGATTCTCCTTGGAGGTGGGAGACACACACTCTCTCTGCTCACTCCTTGTGAGACATCCCTGAGGAGAAGCCATATGGATCTAGCCTGATGCAACCAGAGCCCTGGGAGCTGGAGAAGCCGCGTGGAGATCCCTGCGAGTGCTGAGATGCTTACACCACCATTGGATTCACAAGACCTCCCACCCATTGGCCTGTGATCTTCCTGCATTCGGTGTCATTGCATGTGTTTTGTGAATCTGATGAGGACTTTATAGATTGGCATCGGACATATGGGCTAATATCAGACTTATGGACTTGATCTGGACTGGCTGGGATGTTTTCTCAATATTCAACTGCTCTTGTATATAAAACTCTTTCTTATACACATATGAATGTCTATGGATTTGTTTCTCTAGTTTACCCAGACTAATACACAGGGCATGGATCAAGCCAAGGTAAAGCGAGTATTATGCTTGTCTCTTCTTGGGGAAGGTAGATGCTTAGTTCTGGATGTAGACCCCAACCTTCTAGGGCAGAACTTGGGGGAGAGAGTTTGTCTTCTAGTCTCAGCTACCGTTGAGCGGGCATAGCCTAGCCTGAGACCGAGATGCTTGTCTTTCTTTCTCAGAACGAATAGTGAAAGATCTTGGCTCATTCGCCTGTCAGGGGCTGATCTGCAAGCATGTGGCTCGTGCTAAACTAGTCTGCTTGGAGGGTAGCTGTTTGTGTTTGTCCAGGTGGACTAGAGAAACAAATTCATAGACACTCATGTGTGTGTAAGAAAGAGCTTTATATAAAAGAGTAATTGTATATTGAGAAAACATCCCAGCCTAGTCCAGATTAAGCCCATAAATCCAATATTAGCCCATATATCTGATACCAGTCTATAAATTCCTCTTCAAACTCATGCAACACATGCAAGGATGCTGAGTGCAGGAAGATCACAGGCCAGTGGGTGGAAAGTCTTGTGGATGCAGTGGCGGTGGAAGCATCTAAGCGCTGGTGTGGGTCTCCTCCAGCTCCAGGGCTCTGGCTGCCATCAGTGTAGCTCCATGTGGCTTGTCAACAGGAATGTATCAAAGGGAGAGAGTTTATCTGGCCTCCAGTGAGCTATTTATCTCCTTTGTGCCTCCAAATGAGGTCATCAAGGTGTGACCTGATTGACAGGCTAGACGCCATGCCTTCTCAAGTTGACAGGAGATTATTACCCGTTATTACACTGCTATTACCAATGCATTGAGCTCTGAGTTTGGATTTGGAGCATTTTCGTCCCTGGATGAGTCCAGAGCTCTTTTGAAATGCAGAGCTTTGCCATAGGAGTGTGAGGCAGGGACTAACCTTGGGACCTTACAGAACAAGGTCAGGCTGTTGACCGTGAAGCACTGTGAGGTCCAGGTGACTTAAAACAACAGACACCTGTTCTCTCACAGTTCTGGGGGCCAGGCGTCTAAAATCCAGGTGTCAACATGGTCATACTCCCACCAAAGGACTAGAAAGGAATCAGTCCTTGACGATTCCAGATGCGGGTGGCTCCACCCATTTCTTGGCATGTGGCCACAGCACTCCAGTCTCTGCCTGGGCCTGCACAGTGGCGTCTCCTCTTCTCTGTGGCCTAATCCCTCCCTGCCTCCCTCTTACGAGGACACTGGGGTCACATTCAGAACCCACCCAGATAATCCAGAACAATTTGCACCCCATGATTTTTAACTTAATCACATTATGCAAAGACCTTCATTTTCATCAGATCTGATTCCCAGGTTCCACGGATTGGGACCAGCTGTCTCTGAAGGAGGTGCCCTGGGGGCGCAGTGGGCTGCCCATTGAACTGCTAACCTCAAGGTTGGTGGTTTGAACCCACTGCTGGCTCTAAGGGAAACCCAAAGGGGCAGTTCTGTCCTATAGGGTCACTATGAGTTGGAGACTCCTGGCTAGCTGGAGCTCCTGGCTTGCAGACCCCCACAGGTGTCATAGTTCCCCTTTCTCACCAGATAGAAGGGGTGGAGTCAGAGCAGGGGAGGTGGGCTCAGTTCACAGAGAGACACAGGTTAGATTTTACCTATCTCGAGTGCCCGTGGCTGTCAACAGGGGCCCAGTTTTGATCAAGGTCATACTTTCAAGATCTCTCTAGTGCCCGAGCCTATGTCTACTCTCTCTCTTCCCTCTAGGGCAATGAATCCAGTCTCTTCTGGATCTTCCCCATTCCTGGGGGAAGCGCTTGTCGTGGCTGTGGCTGGCAGGGGCTCGAGGTCCCTTGCCAGTGGTTCTGAGGTCCTGGCCATCCTTCTTGCCGATTTAAGCCTGACTCCAGAGGACTTGGTATTGTTGTCCCAAGCTCTGAGGTTATGTCTTGTAGGCCCACGGGCTCTTGGGCAAGGAGGCTGAGCTTTGGGGTTAGGGAGATTCCCTAAGGGATCTTGACTATGCCTTCTATTCTGTCCTTCATTGGATGAGATACATAGGTCGGGGCTGAGCTCAATTCTGGGGATACAGGACTGAACCGGGATTAGCAGGATGCAGGCATCCAAAAATGGTCACCATTTCGGCATCTTATGGCCTGCTCTGCTGTCGTCTCCGCCCACCTCTTCCTGTCCATCCTTGACATCCTCAACACAACTGATTCCAGAAATATGGAGGTGGTTTGGTTCCCAGAAGGCATCCTGACCCTGAGGGGCTTCAATTGTGGGGTCTGTAAAATGGGGAGGTGGAGGAGTCACATCCCTGTCTGATTGGGGGTGGGTCGTGAGGAGAGAGTGCCTGTAAAGTGTGTGGTACAGAAGGCATGTGCGTGTGCATGTGTGTGAGCACTCAGAGTGAGCCTTTACGAACAACACGGATCACAGAGGCATGCTCACTCAAGGAGTTGCCTGTCTGATCAATTTCAGGTTGAAGAAGTGAAACTTCTTCCATTTCTTCATCACTGGCTTTTGTGGTTGGCACAGAGCCTTGAACCACGTTGCATGAGTTGCTCTGCCTTGCAGGGGTAAGGATCGTTTCAAATGCTCCTTTGGACAACGCATGCGGCTCCAGTTCCCCTGGGACTTGTCGGTCCTGGCATAGGAAACCACGTGATTATGACGGTCCATTTCCGCTCAGGCAGGCCGAGGCTACGGCTCTGTCGGCGTTCCATTTCACTTTCTACGACTTCTACCTTTCACTGGTTCATACTTCACACTTTATAGATTCATATTCGTCCAACATTCCAATTATGAATGGATTCCAATTCCAATTTTTAATATTATTATTAATAGTTGCAGCTCTTTCACCTCATTTTTTCAGTCACGCTCCTTAAGCAAATAAAGCCCCCCAGACTTTGTTCCATCCACATCGTTAAGGTCGGCTTTACTTTGGGGGCTGGGGGCAGCTCTTCTCAGGAGAATTTGGAGTGCTTTCCCAACATGGGTCTCCTCCTGCAGCACACTCTTAGAGAATGGCCCCCTGCCATTCGTGGGGTTTTCAGAGGCTACCCCTTCACAAGTGCACTTCCTGCTATTTCTTTAGAGTCTGGAAGCTTCACTGAGACTTTCCACCCTGGGTGACGCTGTTGGTGTTTGCAGTGCGGCTGGCCTGTCTTCTGGCATGACAGCAACATGCAAGCCACCACATGATGACACGCTAACAGCTGAGGTGGGGTCTGCCAAAAGGTGCTTCAGTTTTGCACTCTTAAAACGAGAAGAAATCCCATTACCTGCAAAGCTTGCACACTGCTAACGACCCTGGAAGTCCGTGGAGGGTGGAACTCTCCATTCCGCCTGCTGGCTTCACCGTCCCTTCTGGAGCTCAGGTCCACGGTGAGGCTGAAGGTGTACGTCCTGGGGGAGTAAAGAGATGTTGTAAAGTGAATCCATTGCGTGGGGGAACAGTGGACTATGACTCAGCCTCAAAGAGTCGGTGTAGGCCACCACATGAGTGGAACTTGAAAACATTATGCTAAGTGAAATAAGTCAGGAAAGGATGATCCTGTATGATTTCACTTATATAAAGTACAACGTAAAAGCATATACATAATAGGAAAAGGCATGGGAAAATAAACATATTAATATTAAAAATTAAGTATCTAGAATAGGAAAATGCAAAAAACCCAAAGTTTATTAGTGGTTAGTAGGGGCTGAGGTGGTGTACACAGTTCGGTACTTGGCTGCTCACTGGGAAGTTACCAGTTTGGATGCCCCAGTGGCTGTGTAGGAAGAAGATCTAGTGACTGAGTTCTGGGATGATTTCATGCAAGGAAACCATATAGAAAGTGTACTCGGTCACAGGGTTTCTGTGGGTCTAAATCAATTCGACTGCACGCAACAGCACTGCGGGCAAGAGGGAGGGAGGGAGCGAGGCGCTGCCTGTGGGCACGGATTCCTGTTCCTGGTGGTGGAATAATTTGGAAAAGGACCGTGGAGATGGCTGCATAATATGGAGTGTCATTGTCACTGCACGGTATGTGTCGAAACTGATACATTAGCAAGTGTTTAATTTTCAAATAGTTTCCAATTTACAACTTAGCTTGAATTATGATGAATGACACCTATGATCAGGTTTTTGGTACATTGTTATTGTTAGTGTAATCTGCACTAAACACAATGTCACAGCACATCACTTGCTCATGGTATCCTTTGTGACAACCCCCAAGTCAAATAAAGATAGGATTGACATAGGTGTGAATAACAAAAGGCAATCTTTATGAAAACTGAAAAAATTAAAAGAGGTCATTGATTTATGGTGGAGTTATTGCAATGGTACCCTGCTGTAAATTGGGGACTACCTTATATTTGATCATAATAAAAGTACATTAAAAACAACTGTACAGTCTAGTAGAAGATATTTAGTACTGAGAAGGGATGCTGGGGTTGGGGCTACAGTTGGGTGGCAAGGAAAGCCCCGTACCAATTTCTGTCTCAGTGCTGTGAATTAAGCAGCAAAGCCTTCAGAGACGAGAGGGCAGGGGCTAGGATGTGTTGGAGATGTCAATGGGAGCACGGGTGGACAAGGGGAATGAAACAGCTCTGGTCTTGACCTTTACGTGAGGCCAGCAGTGTGTGGCAGTCGTTGGTTGAGTAGCTGTAGACTTGGACTTAACCAGGGCTTGCTGAGGAGGCCTGGTGATGTGGTGGGTATGCGTTGGAACCACCAGTTGGAAGCCAGTAGTTTAAACTACTAGCCACTATGTGGGAAAAATATAGGCTTTCTACTCCCGTAAAGAGTTACAGTCTCACCTGGACCGGGTTAATGACATCAGAAGACCCAACACAAACAAACAAACAAACAAACAAACAAACAAACAAACAAACAACCATCTTGTTGAGAACAAGGCAGGTCGGAGCAGAGAAGCCCATCTGTCAACAATGGACAATGGGACATCTCACAGAGGGGTCACAGGGAAGGGATGAGGCAATCAGGGTGCAGTAAAGCACCGATGAAACACACAATACTCCTCTGGTTCCTTGAGGCTTCCTCACCACCCACTATCATGACCCCAGTCCTGCCTTTCACTGCGGGCTAGACCAGAGCATGTGCACAGGTACAGATAAGCGATAAGAACTCACGACACAGGGAATCCAGGAACAGGAATGGGAGTAGCAAAACCAGAAGGGCAGGAGGAAGGTCGGGTAAACTAATCGCAATGATAGACACATACCCTCCCCCCTCCCCCCCAGTGGGATGAACAACAGAAATCGTGGGGGAAGGGAAGACAGCGGTCAGTGTAAGATATGAAAATAATAATTTATAATGTATCAAGGGGTCACAAGGGTGGAGTGGGGAGGGGAAAAAGAGGAGATGATACCAAGGGCTCAAATAGAAAGAAAACTTCTAGCAAAGAGTGATGTGCAACCTATGTGCAAATATGCTTGATACAATTGATGTATGGATTGTTAGAAGAGCAGAAAGTGCCCCCAATAAAATGATCTTTAAAAAAAAGAGTCACAGTCCAGAAATGCACCGGGTCAGTTCTAGCCTGCCCTGTAGTGCCACTATGAGTCAGGACAGACTCGATGGCGGGGAGTTCAATCTTCTTTTAAAGGGTTTTGTTGAGGAGCCTGGTGGAGGAAGGTCTCAATGCTCACCTGATAAACTGAAAGGTTAGTGGCTTAAACCCACCCAGCAGCTCCACCGGAGAACACCAGGCCCCAAATCGCAGCCTAGAAAACTCTCTGAGGGCATTTCTATGCTGTTACATGGTTCAGTACGAGGCAGAAGTCAACTAGATAGCCCTTGACAGTGTTTCATCAGGTGAGTCAAGGATGCAAAAGAGATTTGAGGATGGGAAGGAGGGATTACAATGATTGAATGTGGATGTTAATTTGGATGGGGAAGAAAGTAGGGCCCAGAAACATGTGAGACACTGTAAAAGCAGGTGTGTTAGACAGGGTTCTCTAGAGAAACAAAACCAGAATGCTAATAATTATATATATATATTTATACAGATAGATATATAACATAAGAAATAAACAGTTAATTAAATTATAAAGCAGTACAAATG